ATTCACAAGCAATATACTCTGTTCCACAATTAACATACCTGCATATATTCCTTCCAATCAACCTTCTTAAATAGCAAGATATGATTTTTTTTTCTATTAAGCATTAAACAGGACCTTAAATAAGCCATACTAAAAAAGAAGTTCAATGAATATCTTCTTTTCTTAAGGCACTAAAAATGCATAAGCTGAACATGAAGTTACCTCACATAATCAAACAAATTCTTTCTGTGTTAAAATGTTAAAAACATTCTCTGGTGTGAACACATCAGTCAGAGTGAGAAGGAAAGAAAGATTAATACACATGAATAAATGGAAATATTTCTTTAGAACAGCTACGTTAATGGTACATGTATTTTATTATTAGTAAAGATAGTGAAAATGCAAAGAGGCTGCAATTAAATTTGCAATTAAATTCTAACGTGCTAATATGACTATAGCAAAAGATATAGTGATGTATCTAATTTTCTACAGAGAAAATAAGAATGAGTACCTGTTTTAAATCAGGAAGCAGCAGATAATTTCAAGATCAAAACCACTTCCTGTTAAAGAAAGGGGAGAAAATTCCTTTACAGTTATTGTCATCATTAATCCACTCTTTGAAAGGTTATTTATAGAAAACCTTTCCATTTTGAAAATTCATAACATGATTAGAATATAAGAAATCATCTGGGTTGCCTACACCTAAAAGAGAGCAATTATAAAATTTGGTTAAGTATTCCAGAGAACATAGCCGATTTTCTAGATACAGAAAAAATACTGGAAGATGAAACTGAATTTTTGACATGAAGGCTTAAAGTCAGGGAATGTAAATGTTTGGAAAGAGCAGAGTTCATAAAATATAGGGAGATATATTAGGATTTTTTTGTTTTGTTTTGTTTTGACTGCAGGAATACTTGAAGCTTTCTCTGAGCTCCCTCTCGTGAGCAGTTGCTGACAGTGCACCAAAAGCATCACCAACAGGAGGACTCGAAAAACGTGAGTTGCAATTTCATATTAAAAGTTACTTGTTTCTTAACGCATCATGCCCCAAAGGACCTTGCAAATGGAAATGTTTGGTTCCAAAGATACTATCCACATACA